AATGGACCGGACTTACATCGGATCCCTACTTACAACCGGTCCGCGTCTCCCTGGTCTGCTGGGGGAGGCCCCAGCAGACTAGGGAGACGCGGAGCAGCTTTTCTCGCCCCGGAGGACGCAGGTGGCGGGACCGCAGCGCGTCTGGGCAGTCCCGCCGCCCGCATCCTCCAGGGCGAGAAAAGCCCCGTTCGTAAGTACAGATCCAACATAAGGCAGATCCGCGTAACTCGGGGACTGCCTGTAGTTTTAAGAAAATGTTTTGTCTGTAAATTTTCATGGATCCAGGATGAATTTCTGGTCAAATCTAGGAGACATTCCAGACTAACACACACCCTGATTCAGAGGAGGGACTTGACCTTGTTTTTTCACACCCTAGCTAACTGCCATAAGCACTGACCTCTAGAGCCAGAATCTGTTCATCCGTTTCTGTTTCAAAGTAGGGTGGCACTAGAGCTTGCAAATTAAATGGTTGCAAGAATTTTTAATGTGAGCAAAACATATTTTCTGAAAACAGTGTTATAGAAAATGATGGAACTTTCTGCTTCAGACTGAATTTTTTTTATATACTTGGCATATAAAGTTTTAGACAAAATGGTAAAATTTAGGCCAAGTTGCAAGCAGCTGAAAACAGGTTCTGTAATGGAAAATGTTGGACAACCTTAACTAAGCTGGCACTAACAGCCTGCAGTAAGCTGGCACTACTGGCCTGCAGTAAGCCAAGACAGAGTAGAAAGTTCCTGGCCTCTATCATCACTCTTTCTGAGAACCAAGGAGAATGGACAGCCAGAGTCTTGGACTTACTGCTGTTCATATCATTTTGTTGGTGCCAAGAGATACTACAGTGACAGGTAAATCAGAAGTTCTCTGAGAGCAGGCTGTGGTGTGCTACAAAATTATGTTTTCACACATAATTTTTGTGTGTGAAATACTTATCCTAAGGTATTCAGCCCAGCATGTTGACTTCATTTATGACTATTCAGAGATGGAGTGTTTATACACAAATGGATCTGAACTGTTTTTAGTTTACTCTTGAATGTTCTTGAGTGTGTTAAGCTGTATATGTTTCATTGTAAATTTTCTGGGATACTATTGTAGATTGGTGCTATTTAGAAGTACGGTTACAGGTTGTATCTCCCTAAACCATGACTCTCTGGTCTAGCAACATCTGTGGTGTGGCAGACCATGGATGTTCCTGGACCAGAAAGCCCAAGGGCAGGAAGGCAAGTGGTGGGCAGAAGGCTCAGGCAACATGGGGAGCACAGTGCCAAAGGGCTCAGGTAATGCGGGGATTCCGGTGATTTGTCTGGGAGCCCTGCAGCAGCGGGCTCTGGCAGCATAAGGGGCCCCGCAGCAGGGGTTCAGCTAGTGTGGGGAACTCCGGTGGCACAGCCAGGAGTCCTCCAGTGCAGGGGGCTCAAGCAGTGCAGGGAGCTCCAGTGGTTTGTACACAGCTGCTCCCTGTAACAATGTGCTACTTAGAGAGAACTTGGGGCTCTACCGGTAGCACATTGCTACAGGGAACAGCTCTGTACAAGCCATAGGCAGTGCATCCAGGAGCATGGCAGGGGCTCAGGAGCCCTGCAGCAGGGTCTCAGGTGGTTCAGAGAGCCCCATGGCACTGCTAGAAGCCCCGTAGCAGGGATTCAGGTGGCACAGGGAGCTCCAGCAATGCAGCCAAGGCAGCACGGGGAGCTCTGCAGTATGGCTGGGAGCCCTGCAGCAGGGGGCTCAGGTGGCACAGCTGGGAGTCTCAGGGCTGAGGGGTCCAGCCAGGGCTGGCAGTACAGCTGACTGAAGGCATTGGGATCCAGCTGGGGCCAGAAGCAGAGTTGGCAGGTGCCTGGGAGGCCGATGACAGGGGACTTTCCCGGTCCAGCAAATTCCATTGTTTGGGACTGACCAAGTCCCGAGGATGCCGGGACTTGGTCCAACTTGTATTATTAATTAACAGTATCAGATATTACCAAGCTAAAAATCTCTAATCAAAACCCCTTTAATTTTCAGGAAGGCTTGGATTCAGATCTTATGATCAAAGTCAGGTTCTGCAAGGTTTTGGATCTAAAACCAGAAAGTAGATGGTACCAGTATCAGTTTCACTGTGTCTAAAGGCATTCATGGACAGTTCCTTTCATAACATTTTGATCTCAGGTTGTGAGAAATTGTACAAAATTGCTGCCAATTTGGATCTGCTCAAAAGACTGAAGCATTGTTCAGTCTCTAAACTCTAAACCTCATCTGACCTTAAACCTGTACTAAACCTAATCCAGATCTGAAACCCCTTACTCAGACCATATCTAATTATAACCTGTGGTTGAAAGCAAATAATTTCCCAGCCTCTGCAATAATCACAAGAATGTGTTGCCTGAAAAGAATATAAAATCAGAAGCTGGTTAGAACTTCTTGTTCTTTTCTTTCCTTTTTCAATACAGATGTTTCTCCTCTTCTTTTCTTATCAGGTGGAAATAGAACAGAAAAAGAACTTGAATCTTGATCTGAAGGGAGCAGAAACTGAAAATCCCAAGGAATGTACTATGCAGTGAAGGAAGACTAGTCTGCAAGACCCACTGGAGGAGCAGTAATGTCAGTAGAACGAGGTGAAAAGAGCTGCAACACCTATTTTCTGCTGCAAGAAGTACAAAGCAGTACTTTTTTAAAAATGCACTTCAATTTGACTGTCTTGACTTTCCTGGCTCACTATGATCTGTATTTTGGCAGGAGATTCATTGGCAGTTTGTTTAGAAGAGCTTAGGGATTTGCTGGAACATTTTAAATTCATCCAGTGTATTGACCGAAAGACTTATACTATATTCAAGCCTGCCTTCTTTTCTGGCACTGAACTATGTTATGTTAACAACCATAGCCAAAACAGACGGCAACCCTGACCTCGCTTACAGTCTTTGCCTATCATTTGAATGTTTTCTTGTAAAGCTGGTGGTTTTCGTCATCAGCAGAGCCTTTGCTTATGATGTGGAGAATAAAACTCTTTGAGAGCTAAGCATTGGGTGAACTGAGGAGCAGCAAGGGGGAAAGTGGTATATGAAAAGATCTTTCTTTTATGAAGTAGTCAAGAGAGTGCAAATTTCCCTGCATTGAGAACATGGTAAACACCAAGGAAATAAACAACAAATAATATAGCTGATTATCTGACTCTTCCCAATCACCTTTATCTCATCCTCTGAACCAGAGTACTAAAATAATGCAAAGTTTAATAGGATCTCGATTAGTCATGAGAAAACTTAATTTGGTCTTAAGGTTTTCACTTGCTAGTCAGATTCATGCCATTAGCTTGACTGAACATATGATAGCTACTTGTAATAGAGAGTGTGAAGAGTATAGCAGAAATCTAGAAGAGGCATTACCAAGATGAGATCATTCCTTTCTAGAATGATATATGAGGGAAATGGATTTTATTTTAACATTTTCCTAAATAGTTAAATAGACTGGTTATTGGTCTTGTGTTCCTGATACTTTGGAAGGCATTGTAAGAAGTAAATGTTGTATTTTAACTGTCCTTGCAATACAATGTTGCTTTCAGGTTCCATCCTAACAGTACTTCTTATCCAAGTAAGCCTACAGTGTAACAAATGTGTGTACTATAGACACAATTATGTTTTAAATCACACACTAACTGGAACTAAAAACATCTTTATCACAGGGAACTAAAGAAACCTCCTCTCAGTGGAAAGTAGTAGCAAGTCCTTTATCTTTTCCCTAGACCAGACTGTAGAAGGCAAAATCACTCACTCAGTACAGATTCCAGTTGAGTTGTAAAATGTTCACAATCCCTAATTTTTAAAGTTGTGAAGCTGACCTGTTTGCTTCCCTGACCAAAAGTAATAGTCTTTCTAGAAGAATATAAATCCTTTATCTTTTTAAAGGGATGCTGTTAACTTAAAGCTATGTGGTCTTATTAACATGCTAATTCAATACAACAGAGACACTTTTAAAATTCTAAATTTATTTTTCATTATTTGTGTATTTTTTACATTTTACATTTCACTCAATGTGGGTCATAGAAAATGGATTTTTATTTTGGCCCCTTGGCCTCTGGTTTCACTATTAAACTATGTCTACACTACAGAGTTTTTCACTCTGCCGCATCTACAGGATGCATCCGCTTTTTTGGATCAGTTTCCGAACAAGCGGGTGCACTCTTTTGGAAGCCCTGTATTCCTCATTTTATGAGGAATAAGGGCTCTTCTTTTTCCCACATTCCCCTGTGTAGACAGCCAAATGTTGGAAAAGCCTCTTCCAAAAAAGAATCGGAAAAAGGTATGCAAATTGCAATTCACATTTGCGTACCTTTTTCTGAAAAATAACTGCAGTGTAGACATAGCCTGACTTCCATCAACAGTGTTGTCATCAGCATTCCCTGTAAACTGTGAGCTTGTACAGCTGGTCAGGAGAAATTCTGATTCCTTCCAGCTGATTGACAGAGCATCCACAACTAGGATTTTTGTCTGTAGTGGTGGTGCACATTCACACAAAACTCAATGTCTATACAAATATTCTGCATATGGATGGAAAACATTAGAGAACATGTTCAGGTTCTGAATGCCACATGGGATTATTTACACTTAGACTACAAATTGCTTTTGTTAACAATTACATATAAAATGAGAACACTTCCAATGCCCTCTTTTTATATATACCTAAATTTTAAGTCTAGAATGATCTGACAATGTCCCTTTAAAATCAAAATTTAACAAAGAAGGTTCTTTTTTTTTCTTTAGGTAGCCATAAGGCTACAGCATCTCTGGCAAAAGCATATTTCTAAAACATGATTAAAGGCCAAGGACTTATTACTGGGCATGATGCAAGCCCTACTGAAGCCCAAGTGACTGCTCCAACCTCTTCATTTCATAGTAAGCATTTACGGTATCTATATATAAATGGGAACACTCATACTCACCTTTGTAAAGTATTTTGGAGATGGGGCATAAAAAACACTACTGAAGCGCTAAGTATTTGTAAAATAAAGTTGCATAAAATTAGAGAGATGTGCCTAAAACATCCAAATCACCCCTGACTCTGGAGGAAGATTCAAAATCTGAACATAGATCCAAATTTCTTTACAATCAGCTGGCTTGGACTTTGAATTTGTGGCTCAGGTCCATCTTTGTATAAGAGTTTCCTTCTATTGTTCCTAAAACTCAAAACAAATTTTTGTTTAAAAAAGTTCAGATAACTTTTGTTCCCCTTATTTTTTATTTTCACTGTTGCCTCTAGAGCACTAGTTTCTGGTAAAGCCTAAAAAAAGTAACAAAATACAAGAAGTGAATGTGTTCTCAGGATGCTATTGAGGAACTATCGGAAAGCTCATATGAAAGAGGCTGTCCTTATTAAATGTTAGCCTAGATTTGAAGATTCAAGAAGTCTGGCTAGCTTAGATCAGTAAATGAGATTTTGCATGCTTTCCACAAACTCTGAACATTTGGAAATGATTCCTAGTAATGACTATAAGAAATAATTAAGCAATAAGATTTGACGGGCCTTGAACAGAGAGGAAAATCACAGTTCTCCATCTCTATTTTTTTTTTACACAGTTTAACATGTATGGCAGTCCAGTCACAGAGAGGATCCCTTTCCAACAAATGAGATGATAGAGACACAGAGGTTTCTATTCTTGCTTCACTACTGTCCCCCTCCCTCCTTTTAATTCAAAATAAGTTAATGAAAATAAAACTGTGAGTCTGATTCTGATCTCACTCACACTCGCAGATCCTGAGAAACCTACTGGAGTTCAGTGAATTAAATCAGAATGGGGTCTTCTGTTTTTTTAAAAACTATATTAATCATCTTGTGATTTCTAGAGAATATCCTTGATAATTTTTTATTATGCAGTCAGAATGTTCAACGTTCAACACCAACTCTCAAGGCCAGATTTTCAAAAGAGCACTGGGCGCTGGACTGTTTTGAACATCTGGCTATAAGTGTTGCAAAGTGGTAGGGGGTTGCTGTATGGTGGGAACTCTTTAAAACAGGAGTTGGCAAAAAAACAATGGTGTTTCACCAGGATTAGTCCCTGGTAGGCTGTTGCCACTATAGATATCTGTGCCTCCACAGGTACAAGTGATCTCAGCTCACATTGGCTGGGAATAATGAGCTGTGGCCAATAAAAGCCACGATCCCCATACCTGTGGAGTTGCAGGTAAATACAGCAATTTGGGGGCCTACCAGGGGCTTACCCTGGTGGACCAGATCCAAACACAGGCCAGTATTTGCCCACCCCTGCTTTAAAATCTAGCACCAGGCCTGAGGGCTGAGCAACTTGAATAGCTGTCTGTTAGTGCCTTTAGAGGGCTACACAGTCTTAAAACAGGACCAACCCCTGTTTTAAAGAGTTCCCACCATTCAGCAACCCCTTGCTTATGGTTCTGAAGTGCAACATGAAGAAAAATACCTTCAGTGCACCTGTACATTTATTTCCTGAAGCTATTTCCACTCTGAACCTCATGTTTTCTTTCTCAGTTTCATTTTTGTACAGTATGGCTTATGCTGCAGCATAGTTGGTAATGGTATTTTGGGGGGAAATCCACACCAGGTTTCAGAGAAACAGAAAACCCTTGATCAGAGTGACTCAAGACAAATGTCCTCCCCTTGAAGCAAAACTCTTCTTACTGATATACATAATATTTAATAACTCTAGAATATTATTCTAAGAAGGACAAAAGAAAAAAGGCAAATTCATCCAAAATACTCCCAGGCTACGTCTACATTGGCATGATTTTCCAGAAATGCTTTTAACGGAAAAGTTTTCCGTTAAAAGCATTTTCGGAAAAGCGCGTCTAGATTGGCAGGACACTTTTCCGGAAAAGCACTTTTTCCAGAAAAGCGCCCGTGGCCAATCTAGACGCGCTTTTCCGCAAAAAAGCACCGATCGTCATTTTCGCGATCGGGGCTTTTTTGCGGAAAACACTACTGTGCTGTCTACACTGGCCCTTTTCCAGAACAGTTTTCCGGAAAAATACTTTTGCCCGAACGGGAGCAGCATAGTTTTTCCGGAAAAGCACTGATGATTTTAAATTAGATCGTCAGTACTTTTCCAGAAATTCAAGCGGCCAGTGTAGACAGCTGGCAAGTTTTTCCGGAAAAGCGGCTGATTTTCCGGAATAACTTGCCAGTATAGACACAGCCCCCTAGATTGACGATAGCTGCTGCATTTGAAAATTATTCAAAATAAAGTTATCAATCCCCATTAAAGATTGGGGAAATTTTAGGGCTTTTCTCTGCATGTGCTGTCATATGAGCAATGCTGAGATATCATTTAATCATGATGTACATTATCTTCTGGCAGGGAGCTGACTGGAATATCTACTTGACAAGACCATCCAAGAGTTAGAGGAGCCACATGCCCTCTTGACTCATGAGCTGCTAAGTAAAAGTCCCTCCTGGTTACTTAAGTATTAATGAAAGGATCAATTTCATTGCAAAAGGTCCTGATAGTGAAAGAAAGGGCACCAGCACAAGTAAAGTCCATCTCTAGAGCCTAATTATTTTGTTAGTTGCTTGCAGGAAACTCTCACTGCTGTCAGTAGCACTTAGCACACTTAGCACTTGATCCTGATATGTTATCTTAATTTCAGGGGCTAGCAGATTCTAAAAGATGACACTGCCTAGGTCAGCTTTTGCAGATTTTGCCTACATGATTTTTATCAACCTTGGAATGAACAGAAGCTACTGATCATTTATTGAAGATCTGTACACCATTTTGCCTAAAGCAAGCTGCTGTGAGCTTGAGCCTTCAGGGGCAACAAAATTTAAGTTGTTCCTAACCTTTTGCCTCAAGCCTCCACACAATTCACAAACTCTTGCACTATAGTGATGGACTGGTTTGATTATTTTGTAACATGTTCCTATCTTTTTGTTTGTTAAATAAGAAAGTCTACACACTGGCTAACTCTGTAGATATGGTTTAATTTTGTTGTGACAGTTTGTTTTTTAGCTATAGAGTGGGAAATAATTTTTATTTGAACTGTGGGAAACTGTTAATAAATGTAAACACAAAACACACTTTGATTGTGAAATTAAAGCTATGTCCTGTATCCTCCATATCCTGCTGCTCTGATTGCACTGTGCTATCAGCCTAGGGCTCCTGGTAGGACAACTTTTTTGAAGGGACATATCATAGCAATAATAGGTGATACAAAGAAAAGGAATATTTCAGCAGAATAACCAATCAGACTGTAAAACTGTATCCAAGGGAAATGCTAAGAGGTGTATCACTTGAGCCTTTCAGTGGATCCACAAAACAGTAATGACATAATCCTGCATTTGTGGGTGCAGTCAGGACCAGGTGACTTGCCCTAAGTAAGTTTTTCCATCTTTAATTCAGGAGGTGTGAATGAGTTACTATTAGAAAGCCATTTCCCACACAGAGAACTCCATGAATATCTAGTCCTATAGCAATGGTATGAAGGCAACATTTGCCTACCCTGTTCCCAGGACAGTAAGTGACATGAGGAAGATTAGCGGGAAGGCATGGAGGAGAGCCTGTAACTGAGGTTAAAGTCCTGTTTACAAAGACCTTTGCCATAATTCTTAGGATTTTTCCACACTTGGATAAACCGCATATCAGCTGAGTGTGCTGCAGCTTCTGCCAAGGTCACTGGGACTGATGCCTCTGTTTGTGTCTCACTCCTGGCACTTCCTGCATCATACTTAAGACCTTGGTTGCTTTATAAATCAAAGAAAACTAGTCCTCCCTCATAGGAGCTCTTTAGACACAAGGCTGATTGCTATCCTCCTTCCCAGTTCCCCCAAGTATGCTGTGGTAAAACAGAGGGGGATGAAATAAATGATTTTCTACTGTTGTGCAACTGAATTACATGTGGAAGAATTCCATGCAGCTGCTGTTCAAGTATCAAAAAAACTATTAAGTGAAAGCCCATTAGCACGGTGGTGAGCTATGGCCCATGGCCTGCATGTGACTCATTGGGGTTCCATGTATGGCCCAGGCACCCCCACTCAGCCCCCTTCCTCCACAGTTCCTGCATACTGAGGGCCCCACACTTCCCTATTTCTTCCCCTCCCTCCCAGCACTTCCAGAGCCCAATGAATCAGCTGATTTATGGAGTTCAAGCTCTGCAAGGGAGGAGGAGGAGTGGACACTGGTGCACTTGGGAGAGGATGCGAAGAACAGGCCAAGTAAGGATTTGATATTGTAAAGTTAGTATAAATGTTTCTTTTTTTAATTTGAAGTTGATGACAGTTCTATTAATATATGAATAACTTGTTTTGAAATATTCAGCATACCACGTATTAATGTATTTAATCTTATTCTTGGGGTCATAGTTAGTGCACATGGCTGATTTCAATCTTGCAACCCACTGAGACAAAGGAGGAACAAAGTAGGGCCACTCATTAGCTTTGGTTGCCCATTGCCGGTTTAGCAGGCAACAAAGCACAAAATGAGCTCAATCTAGCTAGAGACCAAAAGGGTAACAAGAAAATACTCTACAAACATAATAGAAGCAAGAGGAAAACCAAGGACAGGGAAGGCCCATTCTTCAATGAAGAGGGAAAACAATAACAGAAAATATGAAAGTGACAGAGGTGCTTAATGATGTCTTTGTTTCAGTTTTCACCAACAAGGTTGGTGGTGATTGGATGTGTAACATAGTCATAGAAGGCAGGAGAGATTCCAGAAGACAAGAAAACGGCAAATATAGTGCCCATCTATAAAAAGGGAAATAAGGACAGCCCAGAAAACTATAGAGCAGTCAGCTTAACTTCTGAGCCAGGAATGATAATGGAGCAAATAATTAAGGAATTGATTTGTAAACATCTGGAAGATAATAAGGTGATAAGTAACACTCAGCATGGATTTACAAAGAATATATCCTGTCAGACTAACCTGATAGCTTACTTTGATGGGATAACAAGCTTTGTGGGTAAGGGAGAAGCAGTATATGTGGTATACCTACACTTTAGTAAAGCACTTGATACGGTCACACACAACTTTCTCATCAATAAACTAGGCAAATACAACAAGATGGGGATATACTATAAGGTGGGTGCATGACTGGTTGGATAACCATTCCCTGATAGTAGTTATCAATAGCCCACAGTCTTGCTGGAAGGGCATAACAAGTAGGGTTCTGAAGGAATCAGTTTTGGGACTAGTTCTGTTCAATATCTTCATCAGTGATTTAGATGATGGCATAGAGACTACACTTATAAAGTTTGTGACAATACCAAACGAGGAGGGGTTGCAAGTGCTTTGAAGGATAGGGTTATAATTCAAAATGATCTGGACAAACTGAAGAAATGATATGATGTAAACAGGATGAAGTTTAATAAGGACAAATGCAAAGTACTCCACTTAGGAAGAAACAATCCATTGCACACATCCAAACCGGGAAGTGACTGTTTAGGAAGGAGTACTGCAGAAAAGGATCTAGGGGTCATAGTGGACCACAAGCTAAATATGAGTCAACAGTGTGACGCTGTTGCAAAACAGTGTGACGCTGTTGAAAAAAAAAAAAAAAAAAAAAGCAAATATCATTCAGGGGCATTATCAAGAGTATTGTAAGCAAGACATAAGAAGTAATTCTTATGCTGTACACTGCCCTGATTAGGCCTCACCTCAGTTGGAGTATTATGTTTAGTTCTGGGCACCAGAAAAGAATGATTTGGAGAAATTGGAGAGGGTCCAGAGAAGTGCAACAAAAATAATTAAAATTCTAGAGAAAATGACCTATGAGGGAAGACTGAAAGAATTGGGTTTGTTTAGTCTGGAAAAGAGAAGACCGAGAGGGGACATAACAGTTTTCAAGTTGTTACAAGAAAAAGGAAGAAAAATTATTTTCCTTAACATGTGAGGATAGGACAAGAAGCAATGGGCTTAAATTGCAGCGAGAGGTTTGGGTTGAACATTAGGAAAAAAATTCCTGTCGGGATGGTTAAGCACTGGAATAAATTGCCTAGAAAGTTTGTGGAATATCTGTCATAGGAGATTTTTAACAGTAGGTTAGACAAACATCTGTCAGAGATGGTGTAGATGGTGCTTGGTCCTGCCATGAGTACAGGGGACTAGACTTGATCACCTCTTAAGGTGCCTTCCAGTTCTAGCAATATGTGGACAGTTTGAGATGAGGCAGTGGGAATCATAGGGAGTAACTGGCCACTAAAACAGCCCTTTCAATAGCCAATTGAGACATGTTGAAATGTCACCCTACCAGATAGGACATGAAGTCATACAACAGCATCATCTCACAATGTGTCCAGGCAGAAGCCTAGAACAACTGGGATAGAGCAATGAGGTCCATAACTGCCAAGGGAGGGCAAACAATGCTGTACCATTGTCAGTAATCCTGGCTTCCTGACCCCATCACCTGCCGCCACTAGTTGAGATTAATGAGACAAAAAATTAGCAATGGACAAAAGCAAAAATCCAGCATTTTGTCTTGGACCTCTGTTAAGTCCTCTGTGTCTAAGAGATTTGTCTTAGTGTGAGTTGACTAGCACCATTATCAGACAAATATTGGTCAGGGAAACTGCTAGAAACCTGTAAATGTTGCCATGTTTAAATGTGATAATTGCTAGAAAGGTTTCAATCATCAGGTGCAAAAATAGTCTTACTCAATCCACTTAATGTGGTGCAGTGAAACAGGAGGCAGTTGTGCCAAGGTATGTTAAAAGAGAGCAATAAGCACTGCAGGAATACAGTGGCCCTCTCTAAAGGCCAAAAGCCAAAAGCCCTCTCTAAAGAGCTTTCATGAAGACCCTCTCTCTTCCAGTTGTAAGTCTAACTGGAAGGAGATATTGAAAATTGCAAAAGCACAGGAGAGGAGAAAGTGATTTTTGAGGAGTCCCTTGCAACATAGTCCTCACAGAGGAAATATCAACTTGCCTCTATAGAAGTAACAAGACTTGTTAGGGTGTGATTAGTTTATCAAGTATACCAACAGGGAGAGTGTTCAGATTTAAAAAAAAAGGAAAATAATAGAGGACTCTCTCACTAGGCTTGACAGAAATGTCCGTGAGTTCTGACTTCTGCTCAGAGCAGTAGATCCATTGCAGGAGAAATCAAAACTGCAGCTAGGAAAACTAATTTTTAGTGACACCTTAGGTTGAAGTGAGCTTAACAGGACAAATATGGCTTCCTACCTGTCTTCCTACCTTTGAAAAAGTTTTGTTTGAATCAGACTGCTGAAAGCTATCTATCCTTTTCACGGGAGATAAATGTTTGGCTCCCAAGGTTTTCATATTAGTTGGGATAGCTATTCTGAGAGAGGGATCTGTGGGGCTTGTTGTAGCAGGGGAGTAAAGGAAGGGAAAATATAGTAATATACTTTGTGGTTATAATTTCATAAAAGAAATGTGACTTTGTTTCATTAAGTCCTGTGACCAGGTCAGAGACCTAGTGCCCTGGAAAATGTGACTGGAGAAACTGAAGAATCTGCATGTCATTCAGGGATGCATTCTGGGAATTAAGGACAAGGCGAATTCAGAGCAAAGAATACAACAAACTTAAGGATTCATATACCAGTATGTTTGGAGTGGGACCTGGGCTGCGCTGTGAAGACTGATGCTTGGATGCTACAGTGATAGGTACCCTAACAAATAGATATACCCAGATTCAATTTCTGGGCTCTTATCTCTATCTCATATATGTATAGAATGGTTTTGGAGATTGAATGCTAATTTGCAAAGGGAAAAGCAAATTAGAGTAACAGAGATTTTAAATGTCTTAATTTTGTGCGTTAACCTGGAAGACCAAGGAATTGCTGCTGAGAATTGGGTTTTAACCCCTCAATGTGGTTTCAGAAAGTGTAAATCAGTTGCAGAATTTGGTCCTCTGTGAGAATTTGAATGTCAACTGAGCCCTAATTTTCAAAAGTGGGCATTACATTTGGGTTACACTAATAGCCATAATGAGAAGGTTATCCCTAGATAAAATGGTTGAGATCCTTTGGTCATGGTGCCTGGTAGGGATTATATACATACTGGTTTATTTCTGAACCATCTGTGTAAGACCTCCTTCTGCCACCTTGTGGCCATATTCTAAAACTGACATTCCCTGCATGTGGAAAAGAAATAGTACTGTATTGTTATGAAGCCACAGTGAAGGGTTGTAACTAGCTTTCTATTAGAAGGGAAATCGGTTGTGTATTATTTTCTGCCTAAAGAAGAATTTCATTTTCATTGAAAGCTGGGGGCAATTGAACAAGACACTCCCAAAATATGCCAGTTTGATAAATCAGTAGTAAATCACATCTGATTCGACTTTGGCCAGTGTGAGTCCTGAAGCCACATCTTCTTATACCTAGCTGTGTCCTGTAGCCACAAGATCATATTTTCCCTGCAAGGTCCCCCGACTTTATAACATTTGCAGTGGTCTTTGCATTCTTTACTCTGAATGTCTCTGCTCCTTGATAGTCTCTGTTGACATCAAAATGGCATGTTGGGTGTGTCTATAAAGACATATGTATAGTTTCTTTAAATGGGTAACATAAAGCTAGGCAGGAGGGTGCTGGGGAAGGTTCTAGGCAGTGGCTTTGCAATTACATGGAAAGAATGAGTACAGTAACTTGAAAAGTAATGCTAGTGTGCTTATTTTAATAAGGTTCTTATTTAGTATTGAAGGAAGTGACTAATTATGTGATTCTACACAATTGTCACAGGACTGTGTCCTCCAGTCTCACTTTCATAGTCAGGTGGCTCAGCATTTGGCAAAGGGACCGTGGTTTGCCCACCCATGGCTTCATATAGTTGGTTGAATGATACAGGCAGTGACATTATCATTTTAGTTTTAAAGGCAACCTCCGCTGCTTCACATCTAAGATGTTAACCTTCAGCTTCCTTGGCAGCCAGCCAGATAAAACACTAAAGGCAGCCAACCCCGGCTCAGTGTACACTCGCCCATTTAGATGCTGCCTGGGATATCCATTTCAGTGATGAAAATAAATGCAGTTCAGGTTAAGTCACTTCTAATGCCTCAGAGTTATTTTCCACTGAACAGAACATCAAGTCAATGCAGGTGGCGTGTTTCTTGAAGCCAGACAAATGCCAACACATTTATTGCAAAGCAGGAAATGATGGTAAGATTTTCTCCTCCCATCAGAGAACAGTTCTGTTCAGGATGCCCAGCATGCAGCCTGGTGGTGGTGAATATAAAAAAGTGACTTCAAATGGTCTTTGCACTACCAGTATTTTAGAACAGTCTATACTTACCCAGACCTTTCTGTAACTTAGGCTGCTCAGTGTAAACAGCAAAGTAAGGCAGCCACATAACAGTGTTTACCACACTGGGTCACCTTCAGTCCATGCATTATGCTTTTCCGGAACAATGGGTAAACATCTTGCCCATAAAAAAACAAGTGGGGGAATAAAGAAGAAAGAGCCTGAAGCATGGGCCTGGTGTTTAACCAAAGTTGTATTATAAGTAATAAACAGGCCATGTCAAAAGCAAGTGTTTGCCTTCAAGTCAGTGTATCTCAGCACTAGAACTGCTAGCACTGATAAAAGCACATATAACATGTAAATATGTTCCATTAAAACAGTACAAAAACACCCACCTAAGTACATAATAAAATAGTTTAAAACAACAAAAGTACAAGCATAACAATGGGTAGTAAATGCTTTAGAAAAAGTATAAGGGGAGAAACCAAATGTGTCATTAATGTGTAAGGTGATATGTATGGTGCATATCATACATTTTTCATTTCTGTCTATAAATATTGGGGTACCTCAACTTAATTCTTTGGCCAACATAGGGGGCAATAGTAAAATCCATACTATCGATTGAACCCTGTTCAATGTCCCAAGTACAAATACGTAGGGGCTCGGAGGCCATCTGTCTACCAAACTATTAATGTACTACTGTATTCGACAATAAACTGACTTGGGCGCCTTCGTATCTTATCTACATCTGTGGTCTTTGAGAGCTCTCAGAAAGTCTATTATGCTAGCTACCTGTGCAAAGCTGGCATGATATACTGAGGAAGCACAAAAACACGCCAAACATTTTACGATCACTGACGGAGCAGGAGACCTGTCAGGACACCACACCAGTACATCCTAAATTTACTGTATGGCTGTCCTGAACTATTATAGGATGTAGGTTATATTTAAATAAGTGGATGTGTATCTAATTTTTTTCTAGGGATCGGAAACTTCACTCACAGATGCTAGTATAAATAAGGAGAAACTCTATATAAGCAAATAAATTATATGGATGGTGAAAAGCCCTGAGTAAATATGTGTAAAAGAGCCTAAGGGCCTGGCTAGACTAGAGAAATTTGCATTGACGTAACTACATTGTAACATCAGTACAAACATCTAATATAAAAGGGAATTTCAGCTGGGAAAGGACTGGTTGATTGTAACTGGTTGATTGGTGTAATGTCCTTTACACTTTCATATAGCACATTTACAATACGAAGTTAAATCAACTTACTTTAAGTTGGAATCCAGCTGTTACAGTAATTAAGTCAATTGGGCAGGTCCACGCCACGTTCACTGTGTCAGTGGAGTACATCCTCAGCAGTGCTTGCATCGATGCAGAGAGAAGTGTATCCTTGGTAGCTATCTCACAGTGCACCTAGCAGCAGGGGGCTTGGAGAGGGGTTTGCAATGCTTCATGGAACCAAAACATTGTTGGGGTGAAGGGGTGCAGATGGGGGTCTGTGGTGCAGACTTTGGGATAGAGTCTGGGTGCTGGCTCTGGCCTGGGACAGGGGGTCCTGGATGCAGGCTCTGGCAGGGAGTTTGAGGGCTGGAGGGGGAGAGTGGGCAGGACAAGGGTGTGGGGGAAGAGGGTGCAGGCTCTGGAGGGTGTGGGATGCACAAGGGAGTTTGGGGAAGGCTGGAAAGGAGGTGCAACACATCTGGGGTCATCCCCCTCTGGTAATGGTTCCTGGGGATCTCTGGGTGTGCTGCCCCTATGCACACTTCCTGCCACCCCTCATGTTAACTCTGGGATGTAGGGGCAAGGTGGAGCAGCTATTTGCTAAATTTGAACAGCCAGACATGAGGTTTATTAGAAGAGCTCAATATGGAGCTATTCAGATGAGACACTTTAAACAAACATTTTAATCATGAGCCAGAGTAGGGTATGTTTCTCTTTTGCAGCCTAGTTTGAAACATGTAGTGAGTGCTATGTGTAGGAATAAAACATTAACAATGCACTATTAATATTGCCTGAGATGTTTATGGTTCTGAGACAAAATAAAATAACAGGAAATTGGTGGGTGTCAGCCCTGCGCAGCACCAGTCAGCATATGTTGTGAACTAATAAAGATGACTTAAGTTCCAAAAAACAGAATTGTATTCTGTAACATGAACCAGGGAAATAAACATGTAGACTTTATAAAACATAAATTAAGGAACCAGAAAATATGAAGGGGAAAGAAGAGTTATTTCTACTTCAAGTACTAATTACATCTTTCACAGGTCAGCATCTGTGCAGTTGTGATTGTCTTTAAAGTTCTCTGGGACGTGCAGCGGCCACTCACGCCATGTGGAATGTTGAGGGCAGGGGTAGGGAAGTCTGAACACTGAGTTGTCTGTGGGCTGCAGAGGGAGGTCTATCAGAATCCTCCACATCTCTTTTTGCTCTCCGAGAAGCCCCATTATTTCCTGGTACATCTATTTTTCCTTTGCCTGCTTGGACTCCTGGGCTTTCTTCTCTCCACTCTGGCATTCTGAATGCTGTTTGCAAAGGTCATCCTCCAGACCTTGGTCTTGTTCCTTGTTGCAACCCTGGCTTGCAGCATCTCCTGGAACATGTTATCCTGAGTTCTCTTCTTCCCCTCATTACCTGAGTCAGGTGTTCCATGAATGTGGAAGGGGGAGACCCTCAAGCTCAAAATGGCAACAGCTGCAGATCCAACACAGACAAGTAACAGTCAGTTATGACAGAAATAGAAATGTAGGATACTGACCCCACTCCCCTTCATCCCAGAAAGCTGTATGAACTTCATTGTCACTTCCCCTTGGAATGATATAGTAAAACTTTACAGTTGCCAGGCCTCCAGTTTTCAACTGGAATGCCCTGTCGAAAAGGGACCCTGATGGCTCTATTAAGCACTCCTGATTGGGCCACAAGAAGTCCAGGTGGTGGCACAACAAAGCTAAGGCAGGTTCTTATGGGAGCTGTGGAGGTGGCGCCTACAGATGGACAGCACTGCACACAGAGCCACCTGGCCATGCCTCCACATAGGAGCCACTCAGAGGGACATGCCCTTGCTTCCAGGAGCTGAGGTAAGCATCTTCCAGAGCCCACACCCCAAATCCCTTCCACAGCCATGAGCCTCCTGTACGCTAACTCCTTCCCAAAATCTGTACCTCACACCTCTTCTGCACCCCAAGCTCCTCAGCCCCAGCATAGAATACCCTACTCAGCCTCAAACCCCTCATCCCAACCTAAGATCAACAACTGGAGCCCTCACCCTGCACCCCAACCCTCTGCCCCAGCCAGGAACCCCTCCCACACTGAACCCCTCATTTCTGGGCCCACCCTGTAGCTACATACCTAGCCCAGATCCCTCACCCTCACCCACTACCACCCCCCAACTTTCTGCCTGAGCCCGGCTCTCATTTATGCACCCCAAATCTCATATCCCTGACCCCACCCTAGAGCCTTCCCCCCTCCCACATCCAAACTCTCTGTCCCAGCCCTGTGCAAATAAAGCAGGTGATCAAGGGTGGGGGACAGTGAACAACGGAGGAAGGAAGGAATGAGTGAGCAGTGGGGCCCTCAGTGAAGGAGTGGGGCAGAGGCTGGACCTCAGGAAAGGGTTGTGGTACAAGCATTTGATTTTCTGGGATTAGAAAGTTGGCAAATCTACACTGCACTAGTTACAGCACCCGCCATGATAAGTATAGTCCTTAGGGGTGGGAGATGGGGGTGAGGAAATGAGTGGGGGACATTTCCCAGACATGAGTGTATGTGTATAGAGCAGGCCTGGGCAAAATATGGCCCATGGGCTGTATACAGCCCACCAAGCCACCAGATCCAGCCTGTGAATGCAGCAGGGAGCTCCAGGCAGGCTCTCCACTTGCTTTAACTCACCCAAATGCCCCTCAGAAAAGCAGCCGTCATGCTAGTTCTCTTTCAAAACTCTGAGCCTGGAGGGGAAGGGGGAAGGCTTCAAGTGTTGCTTCTGCCCCAAGCACAATCTCTAATCACAACAGGAGATTCCTGTTTGAATAATAGACCGTACACGAAGCACCACACACCCCTCTTTTCCAGCTCTTAGTTATTCAGAGCACATGGCCCTGGAGCGTGTGCAGGGGAGGGGCAGGCAGGGAAGCTGCTCGAGAAATATGCTGGGCTGCTGGCCAGGAGTCACCCAAGTAAGTCTCCTGGCCAGAGCCTGCCTCTAGCATCCCAGCCTTTTCCTCTGCCCTCCACTTGTACCCCCTACTCCACATAACCCAAACACTCTGCCCCTCTTCTGTACCCATACCCCCTCTCAGATCCCATGCACCCCAATACCCTGCCCCAGGTCACAATCCCCTCCTGCACTAGATCGCAACCCAAACTCCTCCAACCTAGGCAGTGTTCCCTCTAAGATTTTCCAACCATAAGCAGAGTGAGTTTTGGCTTTTTGAAGTCATGTGCACTGATTTGGATGTGTGCCACCATGGCACCAAATTTATTAACACACACATGTTCCCGGCCGCTGGAGCAACCCCCCCTTCCATGCAGCATGTTCCATTCCCAGCCACTGGAGCAGACACCCCCCACTCCACTATGAGGCAGGGCCTGTTCCTGGTGCCAGCCACGAGAACAAACGTTTCCCCTCCACACCTACGTGGAAGCCCTGGCCACCAGAGCAAGCTGCTCCCACCTCCCCCCGCCCTAGTGCTCCCTCATTATGGTGTCTCAGCTGGCCCTGCCCTCCAGAGCAGCTGCCTGTGCAGCTCTCCAGAACAGGTTGGCGGGGGAAGAATTTTTTTGTGTGCGGCCGCCCAGGCATGCACCTTAGTGGGAACTATGACCCTAGGTCACAACTCCTTCCTGTCCCAGGTCACATCCCAATCTCCTGCACCCCAGACCAATGCCCCAGGTCACAACTACCTCCTTCACCCAAACTCCCTCCCAGACCCCACTCTCCCTCCTGCACCCCAATCCCTTTCCCCAAACTCCCCTCTGCACCCAACTTCCATCCCAGATCCCGCATCTCTGTTGATATAGAAGAATGCAGTCCTTGACCACTTACCAAATTCTTGGAGTGGCCCCCTATCAAAAATTCTTGCCCACCCACTGTACAGAGCAATGGAAAATTAATACTAACAGGCTGCGTCTAGACTGGTAAGTTTTTCTGCAAAAGCGGCCTTGCCAGCTATCTACACTGGCTGCTTGAATTTGCACAAGAACACTGACGATCTAATGTAAGATTGTCAGTGTTCTTGCGCAAATACTATGATGCTCCCGCTCAGGGATAAGCCCTCTTGCGCAAATGCTTTTGCACAAGAGGGCCAGTGTAGACAGATAAAAACTGTTTTGCACAAAAAGGCCCTATGGCGAAAGTGGCGATTGGGGCTTTCTTGCGCAAAACCATGTCTAGATTGGCACGGACGCTTTTCCGCAAAAAGTGCTTTTGCGCAAAAGTGTCTGTGCCAATCTAAATGCTCTTTTCCGCAAATGCTTTTAACGGAAAAACTTTTCCGTTAAAAGCATTTGCGGAAAAGAGTGCCAGTCTAGACGTAGCCACAGTGTTTTCCTTGGGTGGTGTCAACTTTGGCTGATATCTCACTCCTGAAGGTAACAGGGACAGAGAGAGCACAGCTGCTGCTGGTGTCTCATTGCTACCCAGGCCCAGATACTGCTAGTCTGTGTGCTATGATACCTACTAAATCACTGAATGGCATGGGAGAGTGTTGTGCCATGGTGGGAGAAGTAAGGCAGCCCTCCCTGGGAGTCTTTGGCAGAGGATTGCAGAGTACCTCCATGAAAGCTTTACTGAGATCTTTATGGAAGATTCACAGGATATCCCATTGCACATAAACACCGCACTGCTAACTCTACTTTTCTGGTTTGTTTCACTACTACTTCTAGCAGAAATGGAAAAAAGAGTAAATTAGCAGCAAACTACATACTTATAAGAAGTTCTTTCCCCTGCATTAGGCTCACTTGCATTTGAGTATCAGGAGTAGCTGGATTGCAATGGAGTCAAAAACACATCCTGACTTGCCACACAGATGGATTGCATGTAGTCAGTCCCCCATGCTTCTCCTCGCTGTTCATAGCAGGGGCTGTGTCTGGGACTCCTCTAAAGTATCCATGAGACTTGGAGGATGGCATGCAGCTTTTTATAAAAGAATCAGGTATGTAGCTCTGCATCAGATTAATTATTGGCCTCCCTTGCCTTCTAGGGTCATGAAATATGGGATGACTTGGGGCGTGGGTGTGGGTGTAGAATCAAATTAGTGAGGGCCAAACAGGGCTAAAAGGATGGATAGGAACGTGGGGCCAGGAGAGGTCACTGGATAGGGGCTGGGAGAGTTGATAACTGGACTCAAGGAAATTGGAGGGGGATTAAAAAAGACCTGAGGGTGCTGGATCACAAGTGGAGGAGAATGAGGGGGCTTTGGAGATCTAGGGAAGCCCTGTCCTTCTGGGTGGGGAGCTCAGATCAGGCATGTTAGGAGCCACGTGTCAAGAACACACAGCTGAAATGGGGATGAAGAGTTGAGAGCAGACATGCTTAATGCATATCATAGAGACTCAAGCTTTCGGGAATGGGGATGGTACACTCATGGAGATGAAGGGAAAAATTCACACATCTTAGAGCTGTTGTTTCAAGATGTATTCATCCCTATGGGCTGTTCTGATTCAGCAGACACTGGCTACATCTAGACAGCACTGTTAAATCAGAAAAAGATACACAATTTGAGATTTCTTTCACTGGTCCTGTTAGCAACTACATGCTCTAAATATTCAATATTATCATTGTCCCCATTCCAGGATACCATTTACCATACCATTTACCTTCCCCCACCTCCCCATCCCCCTTCTGTTCTGAAATTAGATTTGTCCTTTTCATAGGTGTTCATTTTTTTGATTGTATCCTTTGGTATATATGGTTGTGACAATTTTCTTCCACTATTTGATCTGAGGAAGTGGGTCTGGCCCACGAAAGCTCATCATCTAATAAACCATCTTGTTAGTCTTTAAAGTGCTACATAGTCCTGTATTTTGTTTCAGCTACACCAGACTAACACGGCTACATTTCTATCATTATTATTATTTGTGTAACTGTAGAACTGAACAGGACTAGTCATGGTCCAGGACCCACTCCACTGTATATGGTGTGGGGGGGGGGAAGCAGATTTATTGGTTTCTTCAATAAAGTGGGGAGAATAACTCCATGCTCCTGGACGGGGAAGGGCCTCAGGCAAAAGGGGCAGAGCTGGAGGCATCAGCACCGTCCAGAGCACACTGTGCTCGCCTCTCCACCCCCTGCCAGTGCTGAGAGCTGCCTGGAGCATGCTGTTTAGCGCTCCAGCAATCATTTAAAGGACCTGGGGCTCCAGCCACTATTGCTTCTGTGGTAGTGGCTGACAGCAATGGTCCCCTTTGAATTGCCAGGCTCAGAACAGCTGCCCCCTTTACCCTCATCTGTCAGCGGGCCTGACTGTACAAACAAAGAGCAAAAACAGACTCTGGCTCAAGGATCTTATAGACTAAATCAGTGATGGGCAACCTGGGCTAGTAGGTGGGCTGCATGAGAGACCCTCCATCTCAGTAGGCTGAAAGATTGTTGTAACCAAAATGGATTCTCGGGATAGGGTAGTTTTGCTAACAGTGCTTGCAGGGTGGAAGGTTTTGCAGGGCCCTGGGCAACACAATTTCACGCCCCCCCGCTTTGACACAGCGCATGCGCCATAGCGCATGTGTGGGGCCTCTGGAAGCACGGGGCCCGGGACAGCCACCCCGCTCGCCCTGCCCTATATCTGCCACTGAGTGCTTGCTCACCTATAATTTGTGGGGTGTGCAGATTGCCGATTGCAGTGGTTTGAATGTAGAGGGAATACATGGCTCTCTCAGTCAACGTTGTGTGCAATCAGAACGTACTTCTTGCGCCCTTACTATACGTGCAAAATGCTTTAGTAATACCTGTAGGAAAAAAATTTATGCAGACAGAAGCCAGCAGAATCAGGCAACACTGTGCATAAGTCATTCATAGAACTCTGATGGGCTGCATGCGCTTGCAGACTGCCCACCACTAGCCTAAATGTAAGATGAAAGACATAAAAATTCATATCCCTTTCTTGTTATCCTCTGTAAAGTAACCATGAAAAGCTTAGTTAATGTCTTTTAAAATCTTGCTTAGCATCGATATTTTTGGGGAATTAATTAAGCCTTACAGAAAAATGTAAGTCCCTTTACTAGGTTTTTTTTTTTTTTTTAAATTTACCACCACTCACTCTCATCCACTGTTCCTATGCTCTATGGAGACAGATGCCGGAGACAAGCCGGGTTCGAGCACAGATCAGGGGCTGCAGGTTAGAATACACACTGATGCAAAAGGCGATGCTACCAATGCATCTCGGCCAGGGAGCGCCCTGCAGCCTCCGCCTCCCCACGACTACAAGGCTGAATCGCCGCCCGTGTCCCGGGGAGAAGCTCTCGGATGCCCCGCAAGCCCCATCTCGGAGCACACAGGCAGCGGACATGAGCCCCTGGCTGCAGCACCAGGCACAGGCACTAAGCGTCCAGGACCTTCCCTTCCGCCTCGCTAGGTCTGAGCGGGAGCGCGCAGGTGACCTCTTCGCTACTTCCGCCTCAGTAGGTGTCATGGCGGCAGGGCGAGCCTCCCACGTGACTTCAGGCGGGCGGAGCTCGGTCCCACAAGCTCTCGCGCAGCCTCGCTTCCCCCCGCCCGCGTCCCCCTCTCGCCCTGGCCGCTCGCGCAGCTGCTC